GTATCACTTTTCTAAAATAACAATGAAACATGTTGCTACTTTTTAAAAAATTACACTGAAGCCTCAGATGGAACTGTACAAGGTTAAAGGTATTAAAACAGCATAGATAGGCATGCATCTAAGAATCCTGATCCATCAAAGTAATATCCAGGGAAAGCCTGCAATAAATGGATATAAAACGCTGTAGCAGACCATTAAACCTGATGTTGCTGAGCCTAAATTTGGAATCATGCGATGCAGCTGCCGCCTGGTTCACCATCCTTTGGCTTTTGCAGTTTCACACATATCGGTTCACCAGAATGTGTGTGGGTGTGTGTATTTTCTGATGACGAGCAAGCAACTTGTCCAAGATCAAGCCACATTGGACACACACCTACAGAGTAAACCACATAAATCTGCAATCACCCGCTAAGCATATCTATTGCTTAAACCCAAGAGAAACCAGTAAGTCGAAGGGGCTACCCACGCAGGCTGTTCACCAAGATGTTCAAAGGAGAGGCAATGCTAAATAATTTCATGAGCAACATTTTTGAATGAGTAATGAACAGTTCTTACTGTGCATTAACATAGCAGGTTACCAAACATTAGATATCCCCATCAGCAATCTATACAAAGGATCTATTGTTTCAAGTAGAATACTAATATAATGACAGAAGCACTGAACCTTTGTCAAAAACTCGTAACATAAAGTGTGTGTCTAGCTCCTTGCCTTACATTTCGATTATAACTGTGTAACATACTGATGAGTTGCGGAGGAAATGACAATATGAAATAGAAAAGTTTGGTGCCCGACTTACTTTCGAACAATATCAACCTTATAAATGCACTCAGGTTTACTTTCAAGTACAAAAACGCATTCATCTCCTGGCTGAATGTTGTTTGCCTTGCTAAATGCTTTCCATCCACTTGTCAAAATTTTTAGACCATATTTTTGACAGTACAGGACTGGCCAAAGTCTTCTATCTGGATCTCGGAGGAATACTACCCTGCTTTCATGTTTCATCCTCCTAAATGATATTGAAGGCAATTGTGATGGCAACTCCTACACAACCATTAAAACATAATGCATGGATATCAAAGAACAGTCAAAAAAGAAAGGAAAAAATCCCAAACAGAGGTACATACAGAATAGAGATTCAAAAAGAAATTAACATGGTTAGATGATCATGGCAATCCAACATCAGTTCATCTTGTCTCAGTCAAGTCCAAATTTCCAATTCTTCAGAGGGCAAGACTCGGAAAAAGGTTAAAATTGTCTCCCAAAGAAAGTGTTTGGCTTGCATTTAATGCCAAATCAGCCTATGGTTTGCCCAATGAACAATGATCATCCACTTAAAGTAGAGAACTAGAGATACATTACTGTAATTTGTTCAAAACTAGCCCAAGAAGAGTGATACTTCATTGACGTAAGGAAACATGACAGGAAACCATCAAAACCTTCTCCCAGCGATAAATGATTACATAGGCATTTATAAACTTTAGTTCGAACATTGGGCAATCATAAGAATACTATCACAAAAAAAAATGGGCAAACTTCATTTTACCCCATCATGGTTTGTCCATTACGTGCATCGGTCCCCTCACATTTGGAAATAAGCACATAACCCCCATGTCAAAGTGCACCCCTAACAACGTTAACGGAAGGATTGAAATGACATTAACACCCCTCTTTCTCTACTTCTTCTCTGACAGGGCCCACCCCATTTTCCTTCTCTGGCAACACCCAGTCGAAAAATCCAATCAAACAAACAACAAATCCGATCAAATAGTCTGTGCACCAAACAAGACCAAAATCCAATCAAACAAACAAAATTCAAAATATAAAACTCAAGCAAGTAAAATCCAAACAACCAAACATATCTGTGCGACTGTTACGGGCCAAAATCAACACAACTGGGATTGTGTGTTGCTGAGTTTATTTGAAGATGATGCACTTCTCAAGTAAAAGAGAATGGAGGTCCAAGAATCTAAAACGTGTGAACAGGTTGAGAATGAAGAGGATACATTTCTCAAGTCTTTCCAATGTGTGCCTGTGTTCATTTATATATATGTGTACATGTATATGGAGAGAGCAGTTAATTGCTTTGTTTGATTTTATGGATTTGCTGTGCACGCTTTAGGCTTATTTGATGGAAGATTAGGGGTTTTCTGTTGGTGGTGATTGTCCTTGGCGGATAGATTGAGGAATGAGAAGAAGAGAAGATGGTTGGTGGTGACTGTCAACAGCGGCATAAGAAAATGTTGGCGGTGACAGTTAAAGAGATGACTGTGAAAGATAGGGAGAGAGAAAGCGAAGTGAGACTAAGGGCGAGGGTATTTTTGCCTTTTCAAAGTATATTTTTCATAACAACTCTCATATGTTGCATTTGACTTACACAGACCGTTAAAATAGATGAAAAGTGTAACTGTGCACTTTGGTCCACAAAGCTCATGAGGGTTATGTGAATACTTTCAAATGTGAGGGGGGGGGGGGGGGGGCAATGTGCACAATGGGCAACCCACAAGGGGGTAAAATGAAGTTTCCCCCGGAAAAAAAAAAGAAAGTAAAGATGAATTTGTGATTGAGATGACAAAGCATACATCTCTCTCAAAAGAAGTGTCATAACCCGTGCACAAGGCCACCACGAACCCTATATTTCACTATCTTGTGTGATATACACTAATGTAGGCACATTATTGTCTTTTAAAGCTAGAAATATACAGAGTGGCTCCATTAGAATTTGGTTCACCAGATGTAGCATGCATACTTGCATGTAAACATCTGTAACCAGAAACATGAGCATGCGCATATTTTAATAAAGATCTTTCACTATCAACCAAAAATGGAATCATTCTACAAAGTCAGACCACAATTTGAACAAGATATGTGAGTGACCCAATTCCCACTTGTCTTCTTTATCCTTTTCATGTTAATTGGTTGTATCAACATGATCATGACTCACTGCCTACCTCAAAAAAAAGTTAAGAGACAGAAGGCCGCCCATTTTCTATGTTTAACAACATAAGATGAGAGCAAAAAAAATGAATGAATACAACAAACACAGTCAAAAGTACAGCAGAAATCCAAAAAACTCCAAGAGGACCTGCTGATGAAAAATTTGTGTGGTAAAACCTGTTCAATTTCAGCAATGACATTTAAACAAAACAATCATGATGACTTCAATTGTGACGAACAGTAAAGGAGAATGAGTTAATGAGTAGCATACCACAACATCTTCACTGTTCATCACCGCCAAACAAGAGGTATCGGCATCATCTGGTAAGGATAAATCAAATGAATCAACAGGCTCAGTCTTCACCGATGCATCAACTTTGTCATTATCTTTTAAAGCTGAACTGGAACTCTGACCACACACCTGACCTGCATAAGCTCATACTTTAAATTAAGACGGAATACATGGTTGTGCACTGCAAGGTGTATCTGTACATGGTTATTGGCATATGTAAACAGGCAGTAACTTGATGTACAGCTTCAAAAGATGAAAGATAAGTGGAAATAAATTATACTGTGCAAAAATCTGCCACAACCACCAAATTCTTCAAGCTTCTTGACTTGCTCTGGCTGAATCTCTTTCCTCATCTCACCTATTCAGCACAGCATTAGCCAACATGGATCAATTATTGATAAAACCACGTACATAAATCAACAAGGAAATGAAGCTTTTATGAAAATACAAGACAGCTCCAAGTAGAGTGACTCAAACCAGAGTGACTCTTGAGAATTGAAATGGAGACAGAACGGCTAGAGAAGTCTGACAATCCAGGATCATTAGTTTTCTCAATCACTGTGCCATCAGCTGCATCTGGAGGTGCTACCTGACTAGTTATTCTGATATCTCCTAAATCCTCATCGACTAACCCTGCATCAGTCTGAGATTTCAGCATTGTGTCCGCATGGTGAGGGCATGTTTCATCTCCTCCTGGAACTTTGTTGGTTCCATCAGCAACCGATCTGCTCCTCTGCATTTCAAATTTGGACAAGTCATATAAGCATGTCCTGTCTTCTTCTTGGTGGCATCCAACATCTCTATTTATCATATAAAATGGTTCTTCACGGTATTCGGTGGTGGAAACAAGTTGAAGCCTTTCATTACCACTATTAAAGTTTGAAGTATTATCAATGGCAATTGGTTGCCCTTGTCTTGTTTCAGTGTTTGACCCCATTTCAACTGAAGTACTAGAACCCTGTTTGTTCGTCAAATTTTTATCAATCATGTGGCACTGTCCGTCTTGAGCAGCTGAATTTCTTTTAGTCTTGATTTTCTTCTTTCGATGGCCGTGTTCTCCATAATTGTTCAATTTTTCACAGCCACTTGTTCCCCATATATGAACAATGAAGTGGGATCCCCTAATGTAATAGAATGCCAAGAAATCTCCCACTTCCAGACCATGGTCGTGGCAAAATGAATGCCATCCCTCTTGAAAAGCAAGTGACCCTTCATGATTGGATAAAGTCACCTTCCACCGCTGTCCACTTGAATCCTCAAGAAGAGTTTTACGATCAACCAAGGATGACATAGTTCGTGCAAATTTAGGAGGCAAGTACTGCAAAGGATAGCACAACTTAGAAAACATGGAGTGCAGTTTTTTCTTTTTTTTGATCAAAGATGGAGTGTAGTTTGAAGAGAGAGTATGTCAACTTCCCAAGCTGGTATGTATTCCACCATTACAACATGATTTTAGCTAAAAATACCATGATCCAAAAGGGGGACAATCAGAGGTTTTGTTCCAGAATTCCTTTCAAGTTGCATTTCTTAAAGCGTGTACAAAGTTTTCAGTTCAGGCACATGCAGATAATCATGAGTTTTTTGAAATTTGGCCACTAGAGAAAACCCCATTCAAGCAAATATATGTTTACCGCACGATGGACTCAACATAAATACCAAGATCTAAGGAATGGGAGTACATTATGATGAAAATCCATTCTTGTACTAAGGAAAATTGAAACACCAGCTTTGTTAACCTCATTTAGAAAAACCCTTGATATTTATTATCTCAGCCAAAACTTCATGGAAGGGTATATGTGATAATATGCTTGCAAATTGCAACTAGAGATACCAAATGCCCATTCATTCCATACAATTCAGTTCTTTGGGGTAGTCAAATTTACTTTAGAAACAACTGCTAATCAATTATGGAAAATGGAATCCAATGAGCCATCCTAACGTCACAAAAAAGACTACAACTAATAAAGACTCAAAAAGCTTTCAATAATGATCATATCAGATGAGATCCAATTACGCGTGTGAAACTACTGCAGAGTGTGACACATATATTTCATGCTTATCAAAAGCTAGACAAAATGGTGAAACAGCTCTTCACAGCAGCAGACCAATTTTTGAAATCTCATAAGCTGAAGTTAATACATCGATACGGATTTTGATCCCTATTATTAAGCATCAAACCTGAGCATAAACAGAAATAAACAACCTGCAAATCTCTTGCTGTAGCAAATGAGTTCAGCAACCGAAGAGCATTACAGCATCCATTAATATGCTAAGTTTTCATGAACTATGGTGTATGTACTGGTAGCAAGTATGCCTAGCTATCATATTCATCAAATCCTATAACTTTCCAAAGTTTGAAGTTTGAAGTATGCACAACCATCCCATGTCATGTTCAACTGCGAAACTCCACTATCAAAAGTCTAGAGCTAATGAGGATAGCCACAGCAAAATATTCTAAAGGAGCATTTCAATTATGTAGCTAGACTGTGATTCAAACTAAGTTTTAGACAGAATTTTAGCGTTTAATAGATACAAATACATCAAGTTCAATTTCAAAAATTCGGACAAAAGGAACAGCTCATATTGCAACAATTCATAATAATTTGAAGGCACTAAGCAGAACTCACAAAAGGATGCATGTAAAACCATATACAAATGAATCACATCCAACACTAGCACACATGTAGTATGGAATGAAACAACTGTTGATTTTTACTTTTTTTTAAGAAATAGCAATTTTATTAATTAAAGGGAAAAAGTGCTACAAAAACCAATCAAAGGTGAACAAGTCGTCCATCTCAATAACGTGTAAGTACAAGGTCATGAAAAACACAAAAACTAGGCCGTTAAAACAAAAAATACAACCCACTTGAAGCTGTCCAGCTCGCGATAATGCTAAAAAGAGGAAAAACAATTGTTGAATCAGAACTTAAACAACTCTAAGTTATTGAAACGAAACAAATTCTATAGATACAGCTGTAATGTACCCGTTTAACACACAAACGATAGAATTCAACCAGAATTTTTTTGAGATATTCAATTTCAGAATGAGATGGCAAAAAACTAAGTGTGGAAAATATGATTTTTAATGCAAATCTCATGCCAGAGAACTTAAACATAAAACACTTCTTTCCCTTTTTATCACTGCTAATGAGAATTGTACTGAAAATTCTGTCCATCAGAAAAGGACGAAAAGGACAAAAAGGAATTGGACCCAATTCGCTTTTGATGTCATACATAACACTTTGAACAATAGGTCATGTTCCTGAACACTGGAAAGTCGTGTGTTTATTTCAAGTAGGATTCTAATTACACACACGCGCGAGTTTAGAATGATGTGATACTTTTGATACACCAATTTGTACTGCTATATGAAGTCCAATGTTTGTCATCCATCTTCAAATCTAACAGTGCAGAAAGATTCAGTGTTGCTGCCGGTACCTACCTTTGAACCCTTCACAGAGGCAGCTGCAAGGTTCAATTCCATACTGCAGCACCCACTATTGGGAGGAAGGTTTTTAAACATGCACCAAACCATAGATAGATAACGAAGCAAGCGGCCCTCATCTTTCCCTACTCTCCAGAGACATCATCTTTGCGCAGGAGGAAAGATAAGTCCAATTTTAGCAAACCCAATTAGCAGAGATGAGTCAGGGATCCGTGAGTTTGATAAAGAACATCTCAATGTACCAGCCCATTTATGAAAGAAAAAGAGTGTGTGTGTGTGTGTGTGTGTGTGTGAGAGAGAGAGAGAGAGAGGGGGGAGAGAGGTGAGAAAAGGACAGAGTTCAAGGCTCCAAGCTAGCTGGCAACTGCATCTCTGTCTCCAATTTTCCTCATGCATTTCCCTTTTCAGGTTTTTAAGTCCAACGATCAAACTTACGTTTGAATATGCATATATTTAAGGTCAAAAACAACTAGTAAAACAAGTAGACTATGTGAATGTACATATATTTAAGGTCGAAAACAACTTTCAAAACAGACTAATGTGAATGTACATATATTTATTCCAAAATGTTTTGAAGCATCCAAAACATTTTGAAACATGAGAATTTTGATTTTCTATGAGTGATGTGTTTCCTTTTCCACCGAATGTGCTGAACATTTTGTTTGAAACGAAATGAAATTTTGATATTTGTTTAACACATAACTCATTTTCTAGAATGAGGGTCTATTTATTGGGCATATCTTACAAGTGATAGATAATGAGGGTCTGTTATTGGGCATATCCTAATCCCACCAATAATGGACTGTATTGATTAATCTGCCTGTATTTTACTCATAACATGATGTCCTTTAGTGGCTAGCCCCATTCAATAAAATACCTATTGGCACAACAATATAATGCAACATTAACAAGCTGAACTAGTTGGTTACAATGTATTGAAACTGGATGTCATGCAGATGCCAATATATTTTCCTAGCATATGATATACTGCACCAAAATTGTTCAATTGAATTGACACTCAAACCAATCCAAGACAGCTCATATAAGCAAATCTGCACAGTTGGTTGAGGATTTAAACTCAATTCAAACCTGGCATTTATAACAATGCCGAAGCCCCCTCGGGGCTCCGTGGAGCCATCATCCGGCATACAATCCCCCGAAATGTTCAAAGAGAAATCCCGAAAAGAAGTCAAAAAATAACGATTATAATACCACGTGAATCTACGCTATTTGAATATGGAACATCATAACCATGAATAAGAATGAAATCGCTATAGCTCCTATATGAACTACTGGGAAGATCGTAGCGGAGAAGTCGGGCTAGGCACTTACTTGGCATAGAATACCTAGTTGGTAATGATAAGTCCGGAAACAATTCAGCAGACACACACATGCACACACAAACTCAAGAAATGCAAGGCTCAATAAAGGAAGACCTATCATTCAGTAATAACCAGGGGCAGAGGGTGGGTGGGGGCAGTTGCGCCCATTGAAATTTTGAAAACTTTTTGGGCTAGTTTAAAATTACAAGAAAATTAAAAAATTTCAATACTTGCCCCCACTGAAATTTTTTGTAGTTCATGATGCTTAATCTCACAATTCTTTTTGTATTTTCTAGCTATTTCTCTCCTTCCAACAACGACATATAAAGTTATCAAACTCATCCTTCTCTATATTCAATTATCTAGATATGGATTGATATGTTTAATTGATTATATAAGTTCGAATATGGTATTATATTTCAAGAATTTAAATTTGAATATACCAAAAATTGACATGGTTGCGAATCAGTTTGATTTATAAAGACACATGCATACACATGTATATAAACTTTTCAATCAAATTTTTAATATTTAATGGATATAGATTGTAGAGACAAAATCCATTGAGTAATCAGATCAGATTCAAAATGGAATTCTCAAATCGAACTTGGAATCGGATCACTCGAAGTCTAATGGTTAACATGCATATTTATAGTTTGTTTACAAAATAATTTGTCAAAATAACATTCTCTATGAAATTATTCTAATACCAGTACTTTCAATAAAATAACTTTCATATAAATTTTCTTAATTAGGTTCTATATTTTTACATATAATTTATGCGTGAAAAACTTTAAAAGCAACAAGCAAAAAATTACCACTTTATAAAGAGTTTAATTGGTAAAACACTCATGATTGTAAGACACTATAAATTTTGATGATTGTTCTTCAGTCGTTTGCCCCACTGTAAATGGACTCTGGCTCTACTCTAGTAATAACAATAAATCACCCCATAGACATCTTCTAAGCAAGACTAAGACAAGCTCAATACTGAATGACTTCATGCATAAATTATGCAATAAGAAGAAACATGAGATACATGAATCACCAAAGTGAACATATATATGCTTTCTCTCTCTTTTTTTTTTTTTTTTTTTTGGGGGGGGGTAAGTAAAGCCCTCTGAAAATGCCAATAGTGGGGAAGGGCAAATCCTGATCACATATGGGAAAAATATAACAAATCTATAGCATTCATATATTCAGCATATGATATCAATAGAATAATGATATATAACATATACACAGATTTATCGTATGTGTGTGCATATATAGAGAGAGAGAGAGAAGTAGGAAATTAAACTAAAATATAAGAAAAAGGAAAATGCAATTATACCAGTATTTGTGAAAAGTTATGTCCAATCATGACTTTAAAAAAAGAGGAAACCACAGATGATGGATCTTTCTTCTTTCCATGAATCAACAGACAATTCTGTGCGCATTCTGCACATGCTTTGTCGCTGCTAACCATCTCTTCTTCTCCTAAGCTAAAACTTGCCCTGCTGCAAACCTCTAGACACACACATATATATTAAAAAAAAAACATATTAATCATAATGGAGAGGGATAACAAAAGTGTTGGTTTTTTTTTATGGATGATGACCCGACCCGAAGTAATGTTGTGTGGTTTTTTAATGGAAAATTTTCTAAGGCTTAGTCCATGGAGTGAAGGCTTGGGCCGATAGGCCCAAGCCGTAGCGCTTATGGACAAGCCTCCCCGAGGAAAAATTTTTTGGCCCGTTATACAGCCCAGTGCGTAGGACATATAAACCCTGTTGTTTTGGTGATTAGGGTTAATCGTGGATTGTACAGCCGCTCTCTGTATTCAACTCTCTCAATAGTGAAATCCCTGCAGCTTCGTGGACGTAGGCAAATTGCCGCACCACGTAAAATCTGTGTCTTGTTCTTTCTTGTTTTTTATTGCTTTATATTCTTGTTCTTCGATTGTGTGTGTTTGTTAGTGGATTTAAATCGTGTTAAATCCCAACAAAAAGGATAAGATATAAACTTGAAGCTCAACAATATGGAATTTGAAAATAAGAGAAACAATGCCTAAAAGCGATAAGATTTTACGGGAAAAAAAAGGGAAAATTGGAAAGATAGCAAGATACAAATGCGATAGTCTTCAAGATCTCCATTACTGCTAATAGACCAACCCATGAACTATCCCTTAAAACACAGTCGGACTAAAATCAACATGAACGAGCTTAAAAGTTTAAGATACAAACAATCTGATGTAATGCCAAGAAGATGAAAGAACAATCCTTGCAACTAGACGAGTTAATTTAGGACAATGCAGCCCAAATCTTGCATGGATTACCAATGAAACTCACCATGCAGATGAAATTATATTACCCAAATCGGTGAACATGACTAAAACGCTTAGAGGAAATATAAAGATATCAATAAAAAAAAACCAAGAAAAACAGATTTTTTGACCGACCCAGATGACAGAATATTTGCTTATACACTAAAGTATAAAAAGAGAACTCACGATCAATAGAGTGATGAGAGAACTGGGGAAGTCTAAGGGTTTGATGAATTTGGGATG